GGTAGCTGCGTCCCAAATCGCATACTTATGCACTATTCTACGCCATTTTGTAGTATAAATAGTGTAAGCAGTGCGTTCACACTGAAAACTCTAGAAATAATAAGTGCACTTTAATTACCCGGATGATGCACTCATTTAGCCGCTAAAATGAAGTGTGGAATGATGGACACTTCACGCACTCAACGACCACAGGTTTGTCTACGTAGCGGAAGGGGCGGAGCTATCAGACGCACATATTGGATAACTTTATTTATTTTGGATGGTGAAAGCAAAATTCTTCTATGAGAGTGATAATAGCGCCTCCCGATGGTGAATGAAGTAATACTCACGGCAGGTATTATTTGATAATTCGGTCGTTTATTTCACTGATTTGGCAACCGTCAAACATCATCAGGGAAACGATTTGAATTTCCGTAAGTGTGCCATTTGGGAGGACACTACATACACATACTATCCTGTTGAGTGTGTAAGTGTATAAGTACATAGTGCATAGTGTATTGTGTGCCATTTGGGACGCAGCTATTCTTTTTATATATTCAAGAACATTGAGGCACAGTTAAAATGTGCATATCAGTTCAGTACAGAGAAACACCGAGCGCTGAAAAAGGAAGTGGGTTTCCAATTTAGTGGAAACTGATGTGTCTTTTAAACAGTAACTGACATGCAAAACCCCATTCCGACATTAGTCATTACCAGTCTACATCAAGCAACAGAACAGCAACACGTCCACACACCCTGACCACCTTTGAGGTCCAAAAAAAATTACGGTTACCAATAGGTATACATAAATAAATAATCATATCTGGAATGTTAAAGGTCTTACAAGTACATTAGTGTACGCTAGGCTTATATTATATTGAATATCAAAATAAACCCTCTACAATAAAAGCTGGCAGGATAATGGATCCTTTTCACAAACTTTCACAAAATTTTGTAATTGTAACCAATTTTTATATTGTCATTGAAATTAGTGAGAAGTCAGTGAAAATATTTCATGTATTTGTGACATGTTTTGTGTTAGAATTTACCTAATTAAAACTGGTTTATGCTATCTGAAGGTGTTTAACATCTGGATGTGGGCATGTTTCTTTCTACCTAACCAGTTTCATTGTTATTGATTTATTTTGCTTTAAAGTAACAGAAAATTATAGTCTTTTTTTTGGTAGATTTTATTCAGGATATACATTTATTCATCTATGACAACTAATGCTTCTAAGAACCCTGGGAAAATATTAATGGTAAATGGCAGTCGCTTTAAGTCTTAAAGGTCAAAAGCTGTTTAACAGATATTATACTGTACACTGGCTTACAGATTAGCAGAGCAAGCAGTGGGAGGTGGATGGACATAAGGATTTTCAGCTAATTTAATCTATTGCATCACGGCTGCAGTGTGTCAGGAGATTCATATTTCACTAAATCATTACTGTTGAATGGTCTCTGGAGGAGAAGAGCGTATTCACAAAAAAAAAGTAACAAATGACTATAATAATGGGTCATCGTACAGTTGCACAGCTGACTTTTTTTTGTACTATTTTTATCAGCATAAAGATACTGAATGAACGAAGAATAGTGCTGCAACATTTTTACTTCCCTTATTTCTGTCTCTTTCAGAGCCTGAGAATAAATATAATAAATACCCAATAAAGGTTCAAAATAACCCAACAAAGCACCACTAATTTAACCCAACTTGTTTAGTTATTAAACAAACCAACATAGGTTAAAAATAACCGAACAAAGCACTAAATATTTCTAACTTAAATAAATAACTCAACTTTTCTTAGAGTGTCTAATTCATTCATTCATCTTTATTAATCTGGAGTCACCACAGCTGAATGAACCACCAACTTATCCAGCACATGCTTTATGAAGCGGATGCCCTTCCAGCTGCAACCTATCACTGGGAAACATCCATACACACTCATTTACACACTCATACACTACGGACAATTTAGCTTACCCAATTGACCTGTACCACATGTCTTTGGACTGTGAGGGAAACCAGAGCACCCGGAGAAAACCCACGCGCACACGAGAAGAACATGCAAACTCCACACAGAAATGCCAACTGACCCAGCCGAGGCTTGAACCAGCGACCTTCTTGCTGTGAGGCGATCGTGCTACAGCTACCTATACTATATATATATATATATAAAATTAAAATATATATAATAAAATATATCATCTTAAATATAGAAAAAAATTCTTATGTTTCAGAATAATTTAGACAGATCTACTACTTTTAGGTAACTGAATTTAAAAAAGTTATTAGCAGTCTTTAAGGGGGAAATTTATGACTAACATTGTGAGACTAGTCTAAGCACCAGCCAACTGGTCACATAACACTACAACTTTAAATTTACTTATTTATTATTAATAAATATATAATAAAAAAACACAAAAATATATAATTAAAGTAACACCATGAATTACATTTTTAGAGAATTAACTTGTTTTATAAGTTATGGCATGATTTTGAATTTCAATAATTATCATAATGTATAATTTAATAATAATGAGCATTTGTTTTTTTCTTTTATAAAAAAGTTTTGACACATTCTACACTGTATAGGCGCAGTGGGTAGCGCTGTCGCTGCTGAAAGGGCATCCGCTGCGTAAATCATATGCTGGATAAGTTGGCTGTTTATTCTGTTGTGGCAACCCCAGATTAATAAAGGGAGTATGCCAAAAAAAAATGAATGAATGAATGAAAATTGTATACACTTAATGAACACTATACAAAAATGTCTTGTTGTCTTCATTTTTTATTTGAATCAAATTAACCTTTTGGGTAGGCCCACATGGAATCTGCGCGCGCAGAATTCCGCAGATTTCCAGCCCATCATTAATTCTGTTTATTTACTTGAGTAAATCTAAGTTTATTCAGTTTTTAAATTAATCACAGTAATATTATAGACTAACATGAAAATGTTCATCTGATTTATGTACAATGCAGTTTGTAAAGTAATATTTTCTGTTTTTTAGTGGATGTATTATATGTGAGACTTACTTTGTTTATCAAATAAAGTGAATCTAATTGGATTTGCATTTTAAACTTTAAATAAAAGTTAAAAAGATATTATATTTTATTTTACACATTAATGTTTTATTTATGATACTCCCAAAATTATTCCGCAGAAATCCGCAAATTTTTACCAAAATTCTCCAAGTGGTGCTCGCTGCAGAGCCATTTGGGCGAGCTGAGCTCCAGCGAGGGGGAGCTTGAGCTTGAGCTCCACCTTTTTTGCACTTCTTTTACGAGTGATGTCACTGGGGGTAGGGTTAGGGGTGGGGTTGGTGTACGCATTAAAACAGCTTACAGGAGGCAGAGCGAGAGCTCATGCTCCCCCTCGCTGGAGCTCAGCTCTGCTCAAATGGCTCTGCAGCGAGCACCCCCTCAGCAGAAATAGCAAAAAAACGTCCGCAAATTCCGTCTGGCCCTACTTAAGGGTCATTTAAACTAAAGTACAATGACTGGCTTAAAATAGACTATATGCCTAAGCATGCTAATAGGACTTTTAACTTCCCAGTAACCTTGTTTAAATGCTTCCGGTGAACTACATGTCAATGAAAAACCGGCACGTTTAAGGTCAGTTTTCTTTAAAAATCAACAATCTCCACTGGCTGAATGATATCCGATATAAAGTGGGTCTCAGATTGTACAAGAAGCACTGCATTAAATTACATTTTCCCCGCCATGTCTTTATGAGCATTCATTTTACCCTAGTATATTCAATGGAGCTTCTGCACTAGCCTGCCGATTCTGACAGACGAGCGCGAGTAAAAGGCTTTTTAGTCTCGTTTTACGCTTGAGCAACTAAATGAATGCCAAAGTCTATTTAATTGAATGTATTTTAATGAAATGACAACATCGATGCTGAAAAAGAAATTGTATAAAATGGAAAAAACTCACAATAATAGGTCACCAGAGGTTGGGAAGAACACTAGCTCGGCATATACCCTATAGCTTCTTCCTTGAAAATGATGAATTTAAGTTATAATTAACATAGTTAACATAGAACCTGCAGAGAACATTATAAATTGGTTCTCCCCAAAAAAGACAACAGCATCCATGTTTTAAATTAGTGTAAATTATTGTATAGACAAAAATAGACAACTGCTTGAGCCTTCGGTGCCTTTACTGAATCGTGCAGGGCACGTTTGTGGATTTAAAGCTTATTTAAACTACTATAATCCCAATTAGTGTGATAAGCGGCAAACAAGCGTGTAGTATGTAATTTTACTATAACAGACAACAAATAAAACACTTAACAGCATAACAAGTTTTTCACGTTACGTCGTTTCAGTTAGAAAAACAGTTATATCAGATAAATTTGTGACAAAAATTACGAATCATCTATGTGATTCGATTCCTTCGAATCAGCGGTTCTAACGTTACCCGTTTAAATGCTCAAGACTCGACTCACAAGAATGTTTGATTCGTGATTCGAACACCATAAAAATTGTTCTCAAGTACATGTCTACATAAAAAATAAAAAAGTACATGTCTACATGAGCATGTGGGGAACTGAGGAGCCAAAATATTACAGAGGGGCGCGCCCTTATTGGAGCTTATTGAGATTAAACACGGAGCTATTTAGGAATACATTTCACGTTAAAATCATTCAGGAAATTTGCTATTCACTGTTAATATCCCCCCTGGTCAATATATCCTAATAATAACAACAATATCTTCATTTCGGGATGGGACGCACATATGTTATGGAGTGACCCGACAGAGCATGTGTGTCTCCACTGGCATGTGGAAACAGGTGGAGGAAAGACGCAGTCCAGACTGGCTGCTTTTCATGTCTGAGCATTTACTACAGTACACAACAATAAGAGCTCAGTGAGGGTACCATCAGCCATGGCTAGCTGCGGTTTAAAAGACCATGTCTGGCCAGCGCTGCTTTACTGAATATCCTTTTGAGTTATCATTACTCTCACATGGTGTTGCTCACTCATCACTGTCGCAACATGGAAATGTCATGAAAGCTACTCACGTTGTCACGCTACTGAGGATACAGAGCACTCCTCCATTTCCCACAGTTCTGGCATTGCCTTTCACATTCGCGTGCATTGTCTCTCCCTCCGTAAATCCATGAATAAACGCTTAGGCTGTAGATGTTATAAAACGGTGAGCTTTCGGATTAAGCTGCTGTCGCCCAATGAGAATCCGCCCCCCATGGCGTTATGCTGCTGGACCAATAGGTGTCATCCGTACTAACGGCCGCGCGCGTGTGACAACTGTCTTCAGCAGCAGCAGCAACAGCAGCATCCTCTCAGTTCATTCTGACTTATGCACATCACAGATAGCAGGCTCCACGTTTCATTCATGACTTAAATTTAAAATTATAAAGTGAAAAATATTTAATGAGGAGAGACATAACTGTTAAATGGCAATTAAAAATTATTTAAAGGGATACTCATTTTATTATATTTTGTTTATTATACTTACGTTTGATATTTAGTGATACATATTTTAAACAGAAACATATATTTAGTTATTAAAATATATTATTATTTTCTACCCAGAAATAAATGTTGGCTACGAAGGCTCTGTAGCAGTATGGACCCTTCAAGTAAACAAAGGTACCTACTGCCCCAGCGACAGCTTTTTTAACATTTACTTCTAAAAGAGTGTATTATATATTTTTTATATCCAAATATAATCTATACCAAATTATCTAATTATTATCTATACCAAATTTACACCAAGATATTCATTTATTATTCTACACCAGATTGTATCAGTTTTAATACCATGACCTGTTGACACAAGGCAATGGTGGTATTATTAAATTTCACATTAGTGGCCTCTGTGTCGTGCTAATCTGAAGCCGGTTTATTGACAGTACATAAAACAATGTTGTAACTTAAAATCCTGATGCTCTGCGGAAGTTCATGACCTATTTCTGTGGTCTAAGAAAAACATCTGCACTCTTCGGTGGTTTCCTGTTCTTCTATCTTCATCTCTAGGTGCGAGACAATGCCTTTTCTCTTGAAGTAAGCTGCTCTCTGTGCTTGTTTACAACTTTATTGCATGCCGTTAAATGGTTGGAGGATGATATGTGAGTTTTAAAGTCAATGTTAGTTTGCATTGCAGATATATCAGTGTTGTACTGACAGGCAGGGGTGCAAAATGCAAATCATGCAGACTACACTCACCGGCCATTTTGTTAGGTACACCTGTCCAACTGCTTGTTGATGCAAATTTTCAATCGTCCAATCACATGGCAGCAACTCAATGCATTTAGGCATGTATATATGGTCAAGACGAACTGCTGCAGTTCAGAATGGGGAAGAAAGGGGATTTAAGTGACTTTAATAGCGGCATGGTTGTTGGTGCCAGACGGGCTGGTCTGAGTATTTCAGAAACTGCTGATCTTCTGGGATTTTCACGCACAACTAGGGGCGGACTGGCCATAGGGAACACCAGGGTTTTACCGGTGGCCTGACGGTCAATTTGGCCTGCCACCTTGACTCTGGCCTGGCGCACACCATGGATCGCATAAAGCATGGATCCATCCTGCCTTGTATCAACGGTTCAGGCTGCTGGTGGTGGTCTAATGATGTGGGGGATATTTTATGCGCACACTTTGGACTCATGTGTACCAATTGAACATTATGTCAACGCCACAGCCCACCTGAGTATTGCTGACCATGTGCAATCCTCTTACGACCACAGTGTTCCCATCTTCTGATGGCTACTTCCAGCAGAATAACCCTCCATGTTATAAAGCACGAATCATCTCAGACTGGTTTCATGACCATGACAATGAGTTTACAGTACTTAAATGGCCTCCACAGTCACCAGATTTCAATCCAATAGAGCACCTTTGCAATAGTATCTGGATGCAGCCATGATGATGCAAGGTGAGATTGCATATTTCAGTGATGCAATGTCAGACATAATAACTTAAATGGAGCTAGTGACACCACTGGGTTGGGGGTAGGGTTAGGTGAGCATATTCCAGAGGAATATTTTCAGTACCTTGTTTAATCTATGCCACGAAGGATTAAGGCAGTTCTGAAGGCTAAATAGGGTCCAACGCGGTACTACTAAGGCCTAATAAAGTGGCCGGTGAGTGCACTATATGCTCACTATACTCAAAACATATACTGGCCACTTTATTAGGCACAACTAATAAATTGCTTTTATTGCAACAGTCTGATCAGCCAATCAGATAACAGCAACTACATTTTAGCATGAAGACATAGTCCAGACTGAAGTTCAAATTGAGCACCAGAATGGGGAGAAAGGTGATTAAAAGTCTGCTTGAACTAGAAGTTATTGCATATGTTAATTTTAGAATGCCTTTTTTCCAACTGAAAAGAAATATTGAGGGTGTGGAGTTTTTTTGTGTGCATTTCCTCTCATCTTTCACTCACAGCAGACTAACAGTTGGAGTAGCATGGCTAAGTGGAAGAACAGAGGAGTTATAACGTCAATTTGTATGCAAAAATTGTAGCATTTTAATTACATGCACAAAGTGAAAGTATATTTTCATTGCAATGTGATTATAAAATGTATATTTTCAGAAAGATAATGTGTCCTTTTACCAACTCAACTTTTTAGATTTTGGAAAAAGTCTATTTATAATAAGTAAAAATAATGGACAAAATAAGTTAAATAATGGACAAAACATTTATTTCCCAAAAAAACTTGCAATTGTTGCACGTTCTTTTCAAAATAAAATCCAACATCTAAAATATTTTGTGGCGATGCAGTGGCGCAGTAGGTAGTGCTGTCGCCTCACAGCAAGAAGGTCCCTGGGTCCATGGTCAGAGCCTTGGCTCAGTTGGTGTTTCTGTGTGGAGTTGGTATGTTCTCCCTGCGTTCGCGTGGGTTTCCTCCGGGTGCTCCGGTATCCCCCACTGTCCAAAGACATGCGGTACAGGTAAATTGGGTAGGCTAAATTGTCCATAGTGAATGAGTGTATGTGTGTGTGTGTGTGGATGTTTCCCAGAAAAGGGTTGCGCCTAGAAGGGCATCCGCTACGTAAAAACATGCTGGATAAGTTGACGGTTCATTCCACTGTGGTGACCCCGGATTAATAAAGGGACAAAGCCGAAAAGAAAATGAATGAATAAAATATTTTGTCAAACTTTTAAACAGTTTTAACTGGCTCTTAATGGTTAATTAAGAAATCACAAGAGATGCTTTACTCAGTTTATAAATAATTAGTTTATTTTCATAAAAGTATTATTGTAAATTTTAATGTGGAGTAGTGTAATTTGCAGCTGTAATATTGCTCTAACCTACCTAATCCCTAACCCCAAACCATTAAAATACAGTGTTGAAAGTGTGATCTGATGGGTTGGAAAAAATGTCAGGACACCTGTTCCGCTATTGCCATCTATAGGTACATGTTAACAACTGTAGGATAATAGTTCAAAAGCAAATACTGCAGAATGGACATACACAGCAAAATCCTCTGAGTATAATTCACTCAATTTTGATAGTATTTGGTCCCTCTCTAAATTGCGTTAAAGTAACTCAAGTTATTGAAACAATGAGAGCATAAATTTGATGATGATTGATAATAATATACAGAAACACAGGACAATAACCGACTTCAGTCGCAAGCTTAGATGAAATCCGCTGAAATATAATAGATTGAATCTCAAAATCTCTGCAAAGGATCTTTAAGCAACTCCACAAACAGCAGCTTTACTCATTACAAACCTGTATGGTAATACAGAGCAAATACTCTCTGAACTGAGTAAATGTTACTCTGAGGATTTTGCTGTGTGTTGTCGTATTTTTAAACACTCATTAATTCAACAGAAGTAACAAGAACCTGATGGCCAGGCCTAGTAGAAATCAAAATATACATGATTCCTGCCTCTGCAAAAATGTAAATGCATATTAAAAAGAAAATACAGTGTAAATGGTGAAAAAAAAAAATAGCTTAGAAAATTTATTATAATCATTGCTTTTTTTATTTGTCCTTTTTTTCTCTGTCTTTTTAAAAATAAAATTATATATACAAATATCAACCACCCCAGTTTTTTCCAACTGCTTACACACGTTTTTTAAACAGTGTCAACTTTTATCAAAACTCCACAAAAATTTTCAAAACTGCACACACAAAATGCCTTACATCCTCAAACTGTAACTCTGCATTCAACATTCCATAAACACATGTCAGAATGAAGCATTTGCATCAAATGGCAAACAATTATTTCAAAATAAAACACTTTTGAATATACGAAGTAAACACTGTTGTTTTAAATCTAAAGCTATGTGCTCTTTCATACAGTAGGCTTATAACTACTGATCAGTACAGTGTATTACAGTGACAGTATCTGCTGAGAAGTAATAGGTACACCGTAAACAGCAATGACATGAAAAAACAGAAATGTTTTATGATGGCAAACCTTACTTGTGTATACAGTAGCATACAACAAAACCATGAACATACTGTATGTAAAATAAATGTAAAAAATAGGCCTTTGTAAAGCAAAAGTATATTCCCCAGAATACAGTATACTTGTGTGTGGGGGTCTCAGGGGGAGAGGGGTTGGCCATCATAAACTTTACAGAACCAGGCTGAAAACATTTCTCTATTCTTTTCTAAAGGAATTTAGCATTCAGAAAAGGTGAATATAATTATACAGAAAAGGAATATAATTATACTTTACAATTAAGTGTAGCATTTTGTGTGACAAGAAAAAATATGTGTAAGCATTTGGATAAAAACTGTACTAACTGAATGCGTTGGTAATCTAATTAGGTATAAATAAATAAATAAATAAATAGCCTTAAAATCTGACGATGTCTCAATTTTATGACATCATCGTCAGTCAAGTCACTCGTGGTTACACCGCATCAGTCAAAATAAGAGAAATACATTTTAAGATCTTGCATAATGTTTATCTTACAAATTCCCAAATTGCTAATTATTTTGATATATCTAATTTGTGTACTTTCTGCTATAAACATGAAGAGACTTTATTTCACTTATTCTATAGTTGCACTCACATTAAACATCTTTGGAATGACATTATTTTTTTATTTATCTTCCTTATTTAAACATGATTTAAATGTGTCTATAAAATATATAATATATATTTATAATTAATATATATATATATATATATATATATATATATATATACTCGGATGATGATCATGCTCTCTATCTTATTGTAAATTTTTTTTGTGTTACACTGTAAATTTTTTATACACAAAAATACGTTTCTAA